CGATTCGCCCCTGGAAAATGCAAGATGCTGCTACAGGACTGGACTACGTCAACTCCTAGCTTAGTGATAGGCAGTGAAGTGATAGAACATGTTGACCACTTCACCTATTTGGGAAGTTGTATTAGCACCAACGGACTGATTGGCGATGAAATCTCAGCACGGATCCAAAAAGCTCGAGCTGCTTTCGCCAGCTTACACCATCTCTGGCGTAGGCGTGACATCCGGCTATCAACCAAGGGACGTGTGTACTGCTCAGCAGTTCGCTCCGTCCTTCTCTATGGCTCTGAAACATGGCCAATACGCGTTGAAGACATGAAAAGGTTGACTGCTCTCGATCATAGATGTCTGCGATCTCTTTCTCACGTTAGGTGGTTTAATAAGGTAAGTAATGCTGACGTTAGGCGTAGAGTGTTGGGCAAAGAGGGAAAATCAATCGACGAGGCTATAAAGTTACATAGACTGAGATGGCTAGGTCACGTGCTGCGCATGCCTAACTATCGCCTCCCCGCCCGACGGGCATTGCTAGCTGATATAGGTGCAGGTTGGAAAAGGGTAAGTGGTGGCCAAACAAAACCATGGATGTCATCAATCCATGAAATCCTTGACAGTTAAACTGAGTCAGGTAGGGAGATGCAGACTTCCGGGTTGGGGCCCTCGGGACTCTAGGAATCAATGGCTGGAGACAATAGGTGACATGGCTCAAAATCGTTGTCAATGGCGCAGATGTATTCAGTCTCTGTAATCTTTCATATTCCTTTCTACCATTACCCATTCTGTTTCACTCGTATACTTGTCAAACTCTATTGATTCTCTTCACTCATCTTCTTGTCTACTTTTGTGTGCTATTTGGAAGGTGGCAACTCGAACTGGTGCACTTCGGTGCCAAGTTCTATGTTGAATCCAGACAGGATGACCCACTTGTTACTTCCAATTTGGATTCTGCTCGAGCAATGGCTGAGGTGCGATTTTATTCGACGGCCTCCTCAACGTATGTCCGATCCATCTCCACTTTATCCTATATATTTCTTGAGCAGTCGACTCCTGGTTGGTTTGTTCCCATAATTTTTATTTGCTTATTCTTTCTGGCCATTTGATCTTCAGTATGGAGCCTGCAAAGGCAGCTGTTGATGAAAGTCTGTAACCAGTTGGAAATCTTTTTTCGACACGCCAATCACCTTATAGTAACAGGATTTTATAAGTAATTTCATAAGTATTCTTTTTCCTCAATAATTAAGAATTTTTGTAAGCCTAAGTAACACTAAATCGTTTCGATTAACACAATTCTAGAGAAACTGTGTAATGATATCATCTTACACTATTTGTTTTTTAAGCATACTGATCACTCGACTGTGAAACTTACTCACTTAGCTACTTTGTAATCTAAAAAAAAATACTTTACTAATCAGTTGTTGGCGATTTCTGTTCATTATTGATTATAATTAGCAAACATTGTGTTCTCATCCTCCATGTATCTAAACGACTGTCTTACCTGTTATCTGATTCTTCTGTGTAGACAAGTTAGAATATGTAAATCAGACGCTGAATTATAACCAGTGTAGCCATTGAATTTGAGTCTGTGGATCGATCATGCGTGATTAATAGGCTTATTTAAACAAAAGACTAAGACCATGGTTTAGCGCCTGTTGACACTCATCAGCTAAATACATCTATAATCTTGAGAAAATTACTGTTTGTTCAGTAATTTGAACCCGCACACGTGCATAATTCAGTCACACATATGGTGAATATTTACCTGCATAGTCTATTGTGCATATCTCTAACTTTTGCACTGAGTAACGTTGTTTCGCACCACTGGGATAAAATAATTTTAATGAAGTCTTCATAGACTCCTAGTTGATGAGCATCGGCAGATAAGAAACCTAGGTTTCCAGCTAAGTGAGTACTGATGAAATTCAATACTGAACTGTCAGATGTTTGAAAACCAATCATGAAACTAATGAATGGATGAAAATCTAACTTTAGTTCAACGGCCACACATAAAACTCGAGTAAAAGATGCTTGTCTACGAAGTTATTTATAAAATCAAAAACAGAGACCGGCTAACCCACATGCAGAAAAACAGTTCACGCGTAAGAACAAGGTTTGACGAGTTCACAAATCTGAAGATCCTCCTCATTCCATACTATACACACATCTAGTGACGAAACATAACAATTGATGAAAATGCCTCAAATATATCAGATGCAAGATAGCAAATAAAAACTGTAATGGGTTCCATATTAGAGGTAATGACAAAAAAATAACTGGAATGTTTCTACAAATCTGGCCTTCAGGTGAGCACTATTCCATGTGTGCTTAACTATCAGTTATTAAATTTGTTTACACTTGCAAGTTTAGAGGTCAGTTCAATAAAAACTGCGCTGACATTTATATAATCCCTTATGTCACAAATACCAGAAAATCAAGTGTCAGTATATGCTACTTAAATCTGTCTGTCTGTCTGGATTCAACATAGAACTTGACACCGAAGTGCACCAGTTCGAGTTGACACCTTCCAAATAGCACACAAAAATAGACAAGAAGATGAGTGAAGAGAATCAATAGAGTTTGACAAGTATACGAGTGAAACAGAATGGGTAATGGTAGAAAGGAATATGAAAGATTACAGAGACTGAATACATCTGCGTTGGCCATTGACAACGATTTTGAGCCATGTCACCTATTGTCTCCAGCCATTGATTCCTAGAGTCGCGAGGGCCCCGACCCAGAAGTCTGCATCTCCCTACCTGACTCAGTTTAACTGTCAGGGATTTCATGGGTTGATGACATCCATGGTTTTGTTTGGCCACCACTTACCCTTTTCCAACCTGCACCTATATCAGCTAGTGATGCCCGTCGGGGGGGAGGCGATAGTTAGGCATGCGCACCACGTGACCCAGCCATCTCAATCTATGTAACTTTATAGCCTCGTCGATTGATTTTCCCTCTTTGCCCAACACTCTACGCCTAACGTCAACATTACTTACCTTATTAAACTACCTAACGTGAGAAAGAGATCGCAGACATCTATGATCGAGAGAAGTCAACCTTTTCATGTCTTCAACGCGTATTGGCCATGTTTCAGAGCCATAGACAAGGACGGAGCGAACTGCTGAGCAGTACACACGTCCCTTGGTTGATAGCCGGATGTCACGCCTACGCCAGAGATGGTGTAAGCTGGCGAAAGCAGCTCGAGCTTTTTGGATCCATGCTGAGATTTCATCGCCAATCAGTCCGTTGGTTCTAATACAACTTCCCAAATAGGTGGAATAGTCAACATGTTCTATCACTTCACTGCCTATCACTAAGCTAGGAGTTGACGTAGTCCAGTCCTGTAGCAGCATCTTGCATTTTCCAGGGGCAAATCGCATGCCGAACATACGAAGATTGCTGCTCAAGGTGTTCAGAAGACTCTGCATTTTGTCATCATCCTCCCCTAACAGGACTGCTACTTAAATACTCATAAAACAGATGTCCATAGCTAACGTACGCACTTTTTTGCTACCGCTCTATAGAGAAATTACGGAGACTATGACAATGAATATTTTCAGCGCGGAGGAATCAATTTACCTTCATTCTGTACATCTTATATTGAGCGTCACAGGTTGTGTAACCTGAAAATGGCAATTGTACTTTTCATTTGTGCAGTCAGCCACTAAGTGACTGAACAAAATGCCTACATACATCATTTTCCAATGTGTCACAGCTAAACCAGCACAAACACTCATTCATTGTGAAACCACAATAATAATAAGGTATACTTTATTTCACTGAGATCGGCTATGCAGACTGTCTCAGTCGTTTATCGTACGAGCTGCTTAGCTGTCATGATGCTTCCTCTTGTATCAGTTTTTATGGTAACACTGAACGAGTTCCAAACAATGAGCATCTTTAGTTAATACACAACCCTCTTTTTCTTCAATATGGTCTCATATACCTATGGATTCACATCATCTTTGAGTTAAATCGTCTACAATGCATAATTTAGAAACAGAATTCTTACGGAACGGAAACAGTTCATCGCCGAAGTGATCGGTATGAAGGATTCACCTTAGAGAATTGAAAATCTCCGATTCCAAGCGTATGGTTACATAAGCTGCAGGATCTGAGAAGGATAGGCTACCTATACAACTATTTTGGTTGCTGGAAACTAAAATAATATTGTAACAACAGAAGACAAGCGCCAGGAAGCAAATCTTTTATTAAGGAAATCAACAGATATTTATAGATCTTCATGTACATTATCATAGATTATTGTTAGCAGAAAAACACAGTTTTCTGATCGGTTGTTTCTCACTGAAAGTTAATCTTTCATCTCTTTATGGCTGTTTCGTAAACGTCAGATCATCTATCTGCTAATCGTATCCGCCTACGCAAAGTTTGCTATGATTGGTTGTTGAATCAGTCTTTCTTCATATTTTTTACGGCCAGTATTGGGGACATACACATTGACGTAAATTGCTGTCTATCAATTTGGCTAGCAGCCAGCTTTCACCACAGTATGACTGTTATTATTTACGTACTCAAACAGTGTTTCTCTTTTAAAAAATGGCTACTTAATTCTTAACAGTTACGCAGCATTTCAGCCTTCACATAAATTATGAAACAACAAATGAATGAAAACCACTTATTTTACGCTATCGGCAACCTATTAATTATAGTAATTTGTGAACTATATTGTCAAGTACTCAATACATCTCCACTGTAAGTATTACTGGTATTCTTCTATATGAACTGCTGCGATCAATAACTTCAAGAATTTGTTATTGTCTAAAATCTTAGCTTATCTGTACTCCAAAAATGCATGTTTCTCAATAACATCCGGACTATCTTTCAATAAGTGACGTCTCCATGAAACGCCATCTTCTGCAATTCACACGCATGTTATATGGGTATCATCCCAATGGTTCTCACATCGTTTACTGCTTTTCATTTAGCAATTCTACATTCAGAATACGAGATATTACGGAAATAGTCCACATGAACATAACGCATCATCGTCACCATGAGATAAAAACTGCTCCCTTATTTAATAAAACAAGTATGTGGTAACCAAGGTTATTTATTATTTATAGTTTAAAATCGTTCATACAAATGTACATAAAACGTGTAAAAATGAATAGAAGTTATGAACAAAATAGTGTTTGAAAGTTGTTTAAATTAAAACTTACTTTAAAAGATATATTGAAGTTATTAATTAAGCCAAATAACAACAAAATAATAATTATAAAATACTGATGCGTGAAGGAGACAAAAACTCAATTATTAAGTAGGGGAAATCTTAACAACAAAACAAAAATAGAGACTCTGTATTCTATTTTTAAAATTTCGGGTCAGATTTAGATAATCAATATTTTTACTATTCTATTTACTAAACTGGATGAAGAAACACCTTGCTTTGTGGTAACTAGAGATCCGGGACTTACGTTTCGCCTTGTTTTAAACTCACCATTCTTCCTGCAAACTCAGTGAGTGATCCTCCTATTAAGACTCGAATTCAACACCTATCGTTTCAAAAGTTAAAGCGTTTTTTACTAGGCCATGTGAGAGGTAACATTTCAGAGTTACCGGTGGCTACGACTTGTACACCAGAATGAAAAAGGGCGAAGCTTATGCTTTCATAGCCGTAATAACAAAATTCGGATTTTGAACACCAATGTTGAGTCAGTTCTTCTATGAGTCGGAAACTTGGTGCGTCACCAAAAGCACGTCCAACAGACTTTTATCAACAGTGACTTCACTGGCTCCATACTGAAGAACAGCTGACCAGAAAGAATTAGCAACAAAAACAACTATGAGAACAAACCAACCAAGAACCTAATGTTAAACAAATATGCAGAAGAAAATAGAGATGGGTAGGAAACACGCTGAGGAGACCGAATGACATCGCGCGCCAGGCAACGCCTTGAGTGGATGACATGGAGGAGATGAGAGACTACAAGCAATCGTGGAGCCATAGTGTTGAAATAGTTTCCAAATTACTTCTTGGTCAATGCTGTCGAAAGCCTTTTCAAAGTCGATGAAGCTCAAGTAGAGATTCAACTGGCACTACATGCTTAGTCCAACGACGGTGCGTAGACTTGCAACTGTATCCGCTCATGATTTGCTTTTCCCGTATCCAGCTAGTTCCGAGCAGAGCTCTGCTTCTAGAGCATCTTCAGTTTTCCACAGGATGATGCACTTGAATATTTTGCCTGAAGTGCACAGAAGCATGTTTCCGCGCCAGTTCCTGGAAAGGCTTAAGTCTCCCTTTCTCGGTAGTTTGAGAAAGCAGTCCTTCATCCAATCGACGGGCGCCTTTCCTTCTTTCCACACCTTCCAAAGGGATGGTGTGAGCATCCTTGACGGGATCTCTAGGTGTGGCTCTGTCATAAAAATTTTAAATGTATCTCAAACTTGTTGAGTCTCAGCTCTACATTGAACTGAAAATGAGTAGTAATTGATCAGTTTGTACTACTAAGTTTCATTATAGTTGAAAAAGTGTACTGATTGAATATTAAAGGTTCCAATTTCGAACTCAATCATTTAGGTGTAGTTAAGGTGGATAGAGAGATAAATTAGTTGTTGGAACAAACAGACTGAATCTGTACTTCGATCTCTTATTTGGTTCTGCTCTCGTTTTTCGCAAAATGAGTACCTTTTAAGTGTAGTAAAAAAGTGAAGTTTGGCATCCAAAAAGGTTTTATTTAAGTAAATATATTTTTTGCTTCATGTTCCCAGTGGAATATAGGGCTTCAAACTACAGGCTTGAAGTTTCTGTACCAGTGGTGTTTATTTTTTTACAGGATGGGGTTGCTAGCCTCATGCCCAACCTTCCCTCTTTGCCAGTTCTATTTACTGGCTTAGCGAGATAAAAGAGTTCGTCGGCTGGGGATCGAACCCTGGACCATGTGCATGGTTGGCGACCGTCGTAACCGCTGTGCCACCGAGGCACAATCGACATTACGTTGAATGCGAACAGTAACAGAAGTTTTCCGAGACAAAATTTTGACAAACTTATATTTGCATTAAGCGAATCGATGTTATCACGTGTAGAACAAGCAATTTCGACAGAAAAACCACCTGTGAACAATGCGGCATGATCTATTGTGAACAATAAATACTAAGAATCTAACACAACGCCGAAACATTATTATTTATTTATTTACATGAAAGCTGACGGATATTTTAATAATAGTAATAATAATAATGCCAATTAAGCATTTGTAAGGAGGAAGGTGACAAAGAGGAGATTAACAAAGGCAAACAACAAGAAAGAAAAGAAAAAGGTATCAAGAAAAACCCTTTTTTGTAAATATAAAAAAAACAGGGGAAATGCCTACTTGACATAAACGCTAACGTGTGAATCATCATCACCACCTTCAGCTGTAGCATAAACTCATATTACATAAGGTAAAACGATTGGGAAATAATAGAGGCAATTCAACTGATCTTTCCCATAGTTATATGCGTAAAATAGATTATCTAGAATTACATTATATCCAAAAGAGAGGTGGTCAGTGAAGAAGAAGCCAAAAACATGGACACCAAAGACGAGAAAGAGTACAAGGGGAAAGATTTTACAAGAGTATCCATTCAACAAAAAAGGAAGTGAAGATTTAATCCAACTTATACATACACACACACACACAGGAATATCTATCATGTACACATACAAGTGTACAATCGACAGTAGACTTTTATTAAAAGCAGTACACGACTAACATCATCATCATCATACAGAGAGGAATTTTCAGATAACCGAAGTGAATTTGAATATACAACACATTAATTAATAGTAATTAATCAACACCTATAAAATCTGATTACACAAAAAAAGAAGAATATATGCAAAGGTTGTCTGGCACCAACATAATATAACGTTTCTAAAACATGGATTTAAGGCAGCATGGATTGAGGCCTATGTAAATTACGACTCAGAACTGAGCGTACATCGCTAACAAATCTAAGAGCATCTAACACTGGTAATAAGCATAGAAGAGCTGTATCCCGTGAATCAGAAAACCATGATCGAATTGGAATAGCATTATCTGTGAATAAATGAAAATGCACAATGGTTATCTTTTTTAAATAATCATTTCTTAAGTTGTACGCAGAACTATATGAATCATAATAAAAATGGTAGAAAAGCGAAAGGTACATTTGCCATGAGTCTGTTCAATACTACCCAACAATCACTTGCGATTCCATGCAATTAGTTACCAATGGAACCACAATTATTGTATGACGACTGGGTGTTATATTACCCAGAGTTGCCCGAAACCTTAGTGCATGCAGCGGAGTTTGAGCCCGTGACCCACTTGATTGGAGGTCAGACACCTAGATAAATGAGCCACAAGTTGTATTAACAACTCACTTGTCGGAAGAGTTCAGTTTTCAGCTGCAATCACAGAAACTTTTATTACGACATAAATCTTTGGTACTTTCAGCTGTTTTTTTTTATTAGAGAACTCAGATTCACAAGGCAACAAACCACCAACAATGAGAACAGTAAAGAAGCTCCTCAACTAACATACTATAACAGATCCTTGAATTTATCGTCAACTGATAGGTGTATACAACTCATGAGTTAAAATCACCAGTAGATCAGATTTTCAAGTCCACATCAGAGCTTATTTAATTTTATTTAAACGCAGAAAAAACTTGGTACAATATGGCACCAAGAAAGATGCCCCACACAATAATAACAAAACAACATAGATTAAAAGTAAAAAAATGTAAGTAGAAAACGGATAAAGAACTTCATCTGGAAGGAAAACAGTTATGCTTAACAAGTTCAGACAGAATTCGTTAACTATCATCGGGAAGGGAAGAAAGAAGGAAATCGCAACACGTTCGCCATTGATTACTATTCTTGGCCATATCAAATAACGTTTTGAGCTACCTCGCGGAACCCAACCAGGGAGTCATGACACACCAACCGATGCTAGTCAAGAACAAAAATCCTTCATCCCACGACGCCAGGTCACGGACTGGCCACCCCTCCGCCTTTTCCATCTCAACCCAGGGCTAGCGAAAAGATACCTGTACGGAAGCCTCTGGGATGACATTCGCAGCACATGTCCAAGCCACCGGAGCCGGTGTTTCCAGATGACGACACTCAATAAATGGTGATCTCCGTTGTGTTCAAACACACGCCACCGAACCTCAGAATTACTCAAGCGATGATGCCATCGAACGCAAGCAATCCTGCGGAGGCAGCGATGATCAAACACCCAGAGTCGCCAGATATCCTCAGATCGGAGAAGCCAGGTTTCACAGGTGTAGAGCAAGACAGCCCGCACCGAAGCGTTGTATACCCGACCTTTGACAGCCAGGCTAACGTCGCGGCAGCGCCATAGGTAGCTCAAGTTGATGTATGCCTTCATTATACGGTTGGAAATCTCATCCGTCACCCGTACCGACAGCACTCACACAACTATCCAGATTATTATTATTATTGCTACCTTGGGTTCCTAGTGGAACATAGGGCTTCAACTGCACATCTCCATTTTCTTCTGTCCTCTGCTGTACTTTTCGCCTGCATCCATGTTAATCCATATTCTTTCAACTCCTCTTCACACGATCTCCTCCATGTCACCCTTGGACGTCCCACTCGCCGCTTCCCTTTCGGGTTCCACTCGAGGGCTTGACGCGCAGTGTCACCCAACGGTCTCCTCAGCGAGTGTCCGATCCATCTCCACTTTCTCCTGCATATTTGTTGGGCGATTGGTTCTTGTTTTTTTTGTTCCCACCATAGTTTCTTGTTGGTGATTCTTTCCGGCCCGACCATCTGATCTTCAGTATTGAGCGAAGACAGTTGTTAATAAAGGTCTGCAGCCTTTTGGAAATATACTTTGTGACCCGCCCGTCAAGTTTCTGATCCGTATAGAAGAACTGACTGACTTGACGTTTGTATTGAAAATCCGACCGAATTTTGTTGTTGATGCTGAGTGACGAAGATTTCCAGATTGGTTTTTCAGGTTGGTGAATGTGTTTTTCGTCTTCCCGATTATTCTCGATTTGGCATCTTCGTCCGTTCCGACTGCCTGTAGTTGAGACAATGCTTCCTAGATAAGTGAATGAAGTAACCTCTTTCAAATCCCTCCCGTTGATGGTGATTGTCGTTGGATGTTGCTGATGCTGCTGTTGTTGTTGGTTGGTTATTTTCATAACCTCCATCTTGTCTATGTTCACATGGAGTCCTGTCTTCGCCGGTTGCTTCTTCGACCAGTTTGTCGGTTTTCGCTTGTAAGTCTTCGATTTTGTGTGACATCAAACATAAATCATCCACGCGCGAAATCCAGGTCTTCTAGGTTCTTCACGTCGGTCTAGGATATCCCTGTCTTCTCGTTTCCCACAGTCTGATGCATAATCCAGTCAGTCCACCACAATTAGGAATATCATTGGTGATAGTAAGCCAACACCCTTGTCTGACTCCTGTGTTTACTCCAAACGCCTCGCTGAGTCTTCCGTTGTGGATCACTTGGCAGGTGCCGTTGTCGTACAGCTGTTGAATAAGGTTGATGAATATTTGGGGTACGCCATAGTACTCGAGTAATTTCCAAATTACTTCGCGGTCAACACTGTCTGTCGAAGGCCTTCTCAAAATCTATAAAGTTGAGGTAGAGGTTTGATTGCCATTCCATGCTTTGTTCGATGATGATGCGTAGAGTTGCAATTTGGTCAGTACATGATTTGCCTTTCCTGAATCCAGCTTGTTCTGGTCGGAGTTCTGTCTCCAGTGCGTCCTTTAATCTCTCCAGGATGTTGCGACTCAGGATTTTACTTGGCGTCGATAGGAGCATGATTCCTCGCCAGTTCTCTCAGAGTGAGGCGTAAGTCGCCCTTCTTTGGTAGTTTCACGAGGTAACCTTTCCTCCAGTCAGTAGGCACCTTCCCCTCCTTCCAGAACTTTTGCAATAATGGAGTCAGCATGTCTGCCGTCGTCTCTGGGTCTGCTTTCAGTGCTTCAATGGGTATTCCATCTGGTCCGGCTACTTTTCCAGCTTTCAAAAGTTTGATTGCGTTCAAGGCTTCAGCTCTCGTTGGAGGATTGGTGTCAACTTGCAGTTGTGTGCGCGCTGTTGTTGGTATTTCTGGACGGGTTGCAGGTGATGGTCTGTTCAAGAGTCCTTTGAAGTGATCCGCCCATTGTTTAATCTGTATTTCTTCCTTGGTAATTGGGTTCCCTTGGCTGTCTTTTATAGGTTTCGCTTGTGTTGATCTCTTCCCGGATAGAGATTTGGTTATCTGATATAGTGTCCTCAGGTCCCTTTAGCCTGCCGCCTTCTCAGCTTCAGTGGCGAGGTTGTCGTAGAATCGTCTTTTGTCCTTCCTAACACTCTTCTTCACTTCTTTGTCCAGTGCTTTGTAAGTTGAGCTCATCGTCTCTTTCTCCTGTCCGTCCTTGCATTGAATCATTTTCTCTTTCACTATTCTCCTCTCTTCTATTAATTTCCAAGTGTCCGTTGAGAGCCATTCCTTGTCTTGTCTCTTCTTTCTTCCTAGAACCGTTGAACACGTTTCGTTCAACTACCAAGATACACAAACTTATCAACAACTTCAAGCGGTTCACTCGCAAGAGTGAGTGCAGGTACAGGCTCCTGCCAATCTTGCCTGTAACAGTACTTTGCACTTAAACGGCACAAAGTACATACCATACTTACAGACAGAGTGCATTGTATAAGGCTCTAGAGAGAAAGAAGGTATATTTACCGATACCCGACCTTTGGCCTATTCTGTTTTAAGAAGACATCCCACTCCATATACTGATAAACACTGTGATAATATCTGACTGTGAAAAGTATTTAGTAGAGGGATCAACAACATTTATAAGAGAACTTAAAAACAGCTGTAATCCGAAGTAACGACAACCTGGAGTATCCCGTGAGGAATGTTAACTGTTATTCAATTTTAATAAGTATGAAGTGATACGTCACTCTTCTTACTGCCGACTGACTCATTAATGGACTAAGTATCTGCATTTAATCGAAACATGTACAGCACGAAAATAAGAAAAATTCTTTTTGGAAAAGATGTCGAGAAATGCACAATCTTTCGAGGGTTTAAAAACAGAATACGTTTGGCTCTTTTCCTTTCTACTGAATCTTAAACAGTTATATTTCAACTTATTTCGAAACTAACATTTCCGGAGCATTTAGTAGTAGTCGTGTAAGGACAGAAGACAAGGGCCAGGCAACAGATCGTTTATTGAGAAGAGATATTTATATATTTTTATGTACATTATTATAGCTTATTGTTAGCAGACAAACAGAGTCCTCTGATTGGCTGTTCTCCCACTGAAAGTTAATCTGTCATCTCGTTGTAGCCATTACTTTTAAGGTCTGACCACATATCTGCGAATTGTATCCGCCCACACAAAGCCTGTTATTATTGGTTATTGAGTTAGTCTTTGTTCTTGTGATTTTTCTCATGACCAAGATTTGGAACGTAAACATTGACGTAAATTGTTGTCTGCCAATTTTGGCTATCAGACAGCTCTCACCACAGTCGTACAGCTTCGATCTGCATATTAGGTTATAATCCTAGTATTTGTATTTTCATTTTCAGCCCTAACACCCATATTACTATAGAATGTTAATGTTTACGCGCATACTTTTATCTGCACTTATTTACTAAAGCTTTTTTAAGGACAGATTTCTATTATCTATTTCAGTGTTCAGATTTTCATCCACTAACAAATTTAGGCTGGTAGTCGCAATCTTTAGCTTCCGCTAAGGTGTAGTTAACTCCGTATTGATTTTTATTTTAAATATTCGATAACAAAGCAAATGGGACGACCGGTTTCGATTTTCACATGCTGTCTTAAGGGGCAATATCTCAACTCGAATGAAAATATAAACAATCAAATTTAGCATTTGGTTATGAGTTCCCTTCATGGCGTTACACAAATATTTTAATAATAGTCAAGGTGTCCATTCTATTGTACAACAAAAAAACTTCAGTCACTGAAACCATAGAGTAAGTAGTACACTTGGGTGAGATATTACGTCCGATATATAGAGGGAATTAATCCAATTAGTAAGGTTGTGGATCGCCTCAACTACAGTGGATAGGAAATGTGTTGTGCACGTTAACCTCTTCAGCTGACGATTTTAGTCTATCGGAAATTAAAAGAAATCTAAGAGTGGTCAAACCAAAGCATGACACTAATCTATAGAGTTTCTAGATGTTGGAATGATTTCTGCATAAAAGTGTGGCTTGCTTAACTTGACTACTCGTAATGTTAGTCATCGTGCATTGGAATAGCTTTGTAATACGGCTGAAAATAGGTCAAAATGATGCGAATGTACCCAAAAACATCTGGCGCATTTTATGAACACCCGTCTGTTTACTAATTACCAATATCTCAGTCAAATCTCTACCAACTTCTTTTGCTACTATAAAAGTATAATAGATTGAAACAACGTAGAATACTAGCACAAGACTCTATTTTATGACTGTTACTGCTAGCTAAAAAAGTCTTCGTAGATTTCACTACTCATAAGTGAAACAAAACAAGATGAAATTCCAAACACCATTCAGATAAACAACCTCTTCTTATTGCCTTCTCCAAATTCATCATGGGAACTGATTCCAACAAAACCATAAGAAGTTATGAAACATCCATCAAAGGCATTTGAAACAATGTAGTTAGCACAATACAGGATCAGAGTTCAGGGATGTGAATCAATCGATAACAATCGAGGTGATCATAATAATCCACGTAGTGGTGAGTGTATGGATAGAATGTGTATACTAATAGGGAGGGATGTAGGGGGAAATAACTATTGTGACACGGCGATTAGACAACACAATAATCCTAATAAATTGTGAAATTGAGATTTAAATGTACAACTACAGCACAGCAGGATACTGACAGCAAAGTTAGCAGCACAAATAAAAATCAAGTAAAATAAAAAGACACTATTTACAGCTATCTGTGGTGCAGGTGTCACCGGGAGAGATAACTATTCTAGGTGAAGGTGAAGCTCAATGGAGGGAGAAAGAGAGAGTGACCAAACTTCATCCGAACACAGAGATTTGGTTGAAAATTTTCTATTGCAGCTGCCTCAGCTATGTTTAGCAACCGAAGATGTAACGTACCAACCTACGGAATTCTGGTGTTACCCTGTATTAAATTGTAAAGACTGAATTTTTATCAACCTTATGCTCTGTATTGTCTAGATATGTCAGTATGGAACTTCTCACTGACTTTACGACTCTTTTACTTACCCATGCTGGACAATGCTCCAGAAGGCGACAGCGGGCTCGCTCAGTCGTCCTACCTATGTAGCTGTCTCCATATGGACAGTGAAATTTATAAATGTACACTGAAGTGGTCAGACTCGGTAGGTCATCCTAAACCTGGATAACGAACATACTTAGATCACTTCAACTAAAAGTGGCTAAGTATAGCTCGAAGGACATTTCTGAATTTATAGAAAAAATAAGGGATAAGAAGGTCAACGATGAAACAATGATCTCTGTGGATATCACTCCCCTGTCCACTAATGTCCCCTTATTAGAGACCATCGACTTCATCTGTGCGTCTGCCATAGAAAATGACATGAATGTAAGTATACCATCTCAAACGCCACGGGAACTGCTTCTCCGTTGTATAATATATGTGCAGTTTCAGTTTAATGACGAATTCTAGAGTCTTAAGTGGAGGGTGTAGCAATGGGCTCCTCTCTGGGTCCCCTCTTAGCCGATATGCCCATGGTAAAACTAGAGTCGTCCACTTATAAGAACTGTCTGAAAACGATGCAGAAGTAACGTATATGTATATGGCTTTACCGTTTAAGGAAGATGCAGCTGCTGAATTACTGACGTCGAAGCTCCGAACAATAGTAACTAGAACATTCTTTATAGTAACACTGTGTTTACAATTCACCACTCGTTGTATAATTTAATGCAGGTTTAGAATAAGCTACCGAGTCTGGCCACTTCCGTGTACGTTTATAAATTTCACTGTCCATATGGAGACAGCTACATAGGTAGGACGACTGAGCGAGCCCGCTGTCGCCTTCTGGAGCATTGTCCAGCATGGGTAAGTAAAAGAGTCGTAAAGTCAGTGAGAAGTTCCATACTGACATATCTAGACAATACAGAGCATAAGGTTGATAAAAATTCAGTCTTTACAATTTAATACAGGGTAACACCAGAATTCCGTAGGTTGGTACGTTACATCTTCGGTTGCTAAACATAGCTGAGGCAGCTGCAATAGAAAATTTTCAACCAAATCTCTGTGTTCGGATGAAGTTTGGTCACTCTCTCTTTCTCCCTCCATTGAGCTTCACCTTCACCTAGAATAGTTATCTCTCCCGGTGACACCTGCACCACAGATAGCTGTAAATAGTGTCTTTTTATTTTACTTGATTTTTATTTGTGCTGCTAACTTTGCTGTCAGTATCCTGCTGTGCTGTAGTTGTACATTTAAATCTCAATTTCACAATTTATTAGGATTATTGTGTTGTCTAATCGCCGTGTCACAATAGTTATTTCCCCCTACATCCCTCCCTATTAGTATACACATTCTATCCATACACTCACCACTACGTGGATTATTATGATCACCTCGATTGTTATCGATTGATTCACATCCCTGACCTCTGATTCTATATTTTGTTAACCAGATTATTTTAAATTTGTGTGAATGATATTTCATAACTGCTTATATTTTTGAAGGAGTTATTTTCGTTTATGAATTTAGACAAAACAATAAGAAGTAGCTTATTTGATTCGTTTAATGTATGTACACTTATTATTGGTAAAATCCACGAAATCGTTATGGCTAACGATAACAGAGAATTAGAAAGTTGCTTGATTGCAGAGCCCACAGATCCTCCACAATCAACACCTGACATAAAAAAAAATGATTACATTTACCATAATGTCTCCAAGTGTGCTGAATCTACTGGAGCAAATATCTCTCCCTCGTTTAACTGCTTACATCTTATACTGGGGATGAAATAATTTGAACAAGCGAATTCATTTGTATTTATGGTCGAAATTTCGAAAACAGAAAGTGCATTTGAGCCATTTTTCGATTGATTTTCGATAAAATCATAGAAATTCCCGAGCAAATGATTATCAATATCTTGGGGGAATTAAACTAATGAATGACATAATAACCAAGAAGCGAGCTGCCAAACAAGCGACCAGCCAATTGTTTGCATATGTACCAAGATCTCTCCAATAAGCGACTACACATACTGGTAAGATACTGATATTCTCTAACATTTAGGATTTCTTTCAGTAATATTACCAGTTTGAAAAACTTCATAACTATTCACAACATCATTAAATATCATGTGGTCCACCGACTTTAGCACTGAACTTTCAGCCAGTCTGTCCCTAGTTTAAGTCTTTTATACACCTAATTCGGCCTTGGGGCAAACGGGTTAGTATAATCACCCCTCGCATAATGTTGCACTCGTCGATCTCCAAACAATGTAAATGAACGAGATACACAATAAGCAGTTAAAAAAAAAGAAAACAGCTAAGATCATCTGTGAAGGGGATAGGTTAAATGTGGTGTGAAAACCTGAATTTCATGAAACAGACATACCCGGATAAGAACGATAAGCGCCTGGTGAATTATCCAGTATAAATATGGAAGCCAAATCGGAAGTAATTAATGAAAGATTTTTTGAATAGCTACCATTGTCGTATGTACAGTGCTAAAAAGAAGGTAAAAAAATTAATAATAAATACTTGTGAAAGACAAGACAACTAACTAAAAAGTGTCAACGTGAAACATTATACACAAGATGGAAACCAGAAATTGTCTTTGTTTGCGAATACGACGTTAAAAAGTGAAACAGCATACAACTAAATAGTGAATCAACCTTGCTGAAGTTTACGCTTCACTTAACCAAAGTGATTCGCTACGTTTTTACATGATACCTTGCACAGCATTGTTGATAGTCGGTATTAATTTACAACTTTGAAGGATGTAATTTTATTTCACTGACGATGAAGATAACAGTGAAAATATGAATTAAGTGAAATTGCATAAACCTGTTTTATAAAACACAGAATAATTAAGCAAAGAATACCCTTTTCGATAATTTCCACGTCTGGCTCTACAGTTATATATATATATATATATATATATATATATATATATATATATAGAATATTCTAGAATAGTGTTCAATAACAATATTAGTGTTTTTAAATAATATGGATATGTAAAATAAGATCAGTTGAATTACAGTTCATTAAAGATGCTATTATTATAATAATAATTAAGGTATAATAGCGAATAGAATATCAGCTAAAATTAGGGAGATTTCTACAAAAATTGAGGATCATTCAAACCTAGATAGCCAAGGTAAGGATGATGTCTGAATTGGCTTCTTAATGTGGATCCCAGCAGCCAGCCTCCGCAATATTCTGTAATCGAACTCTTAAGGCGAAGTTAAGATTTGTTGGTATGTGGTAAATGACTCTGAAAGCCTGGTTAGCATCAATCTTGTGTTCTGTATCCAAAAGATGAGATAAAGTAGCGTTGCGAATAGATTTTGTTTCTCCTTTACTTCACCATGAAGGGTGATGTTCGGAAATTCGACGAGAAGCAAGTCTAATTGTACGGTATACTAACAAACATTAATTTCGCCTTAAGAGTTCGATTACTAAATATTGCTAAGACTGTCTATTGGGATCCACATTAACAAGCCTAATTTGTGCATCCAAAAGAAGTTAATCATTATAATAGAGGTTTTTTGTATTTCCCAATGAATGAAAAAACAAAACGAGATTGTAAAAACAATCTCGTTTTGTTTTTTCATTCATTGGGAAATACAAAAAACCTCTATTATAATGAATATCATATACCCAATGCCCAAATTTTTTCAAACCGTTAAAAGTGAACTTGGTTTGGATATATATAACCAAAAGAAGTTAGTTCAGACATTATCTTTACCTTGGCCATCTAGGTTTGAATGATCCTCAATTTTTTGTGGAATTTTCCTAATTTTGGTTGATATTCTATTTGCTACTATATCTTTATTATTATTATTTAAGCATCTTTAATGAACTGTAATTCCACTGTGATCTTACTTTACAAATCGATACTACTTGAAAAACCCTAATATTGTTATTGACTACTATTCTAGAATATTCTGTGCATATAAACATACAAATATCTAATTGTAGAGCCAGAAGAAGAAGTTATAAGAAAGCATATTCTTTGCTCAATTATTCTGTGTTTTATATATGTCTGAATGAAAACATTCGCTATATTAAACGTGTTTTATTGTAGTTCAGTGTATGTGGGGTGGTGAAACACTTGAGACTAGATAGATTTATTACTAATGGTAATACGTGCATCCAAACTTATGAAGACATTTGAGAAGCAGTGGCAATTCGACACGAAGATAACAATTATCGGTAATCATTTACAATAGAAATAATTCATAACTAACTCCAACTCTCTACATCAAGAACAAACAAGATGTCAGGACCAAGATATTCTTATAAAATTTTCCTAAAAATATCAATAAGAAAGTGTTTATCAATAAGGATTCCTGTGTTTCGTGATTTTTCAAAAGTTCACTTCTTTCAGAGAATGAAAACCTGTCTAACAACTTATATCAATAGTTTGTAAATAAACAGTAAATAATACAGGCCAGTATTCGCCTCTTATGCAAAACAGGTCTCATTTTGTTTGAGACATACTTCGTGCGCTCTGCATAATAAACAATGAATTTGGACTTGATTCATCTACGGTGAGAGCTGTCTGCTAGCCAAAATTAGTAGACAGCAATTCACGTTAATGTTTACGTCCCCAATACTGGTTGTGAGAAAAATAAGAACAAAGACTGATTCAACAACCAATAACAGGAGACTTTGCATGGGCGGATACGATTCGCAGATATATGGTCTGACCTTAAAAGTAATGGCTACAAAGAGATGACAGATTAACTTTCAGCGAGAGAACAGCCAATCAGAGGACGCTGTTTCTCTGCTAACAATAAGCTATAGTAATGTACATAAAAATATATAAATATCTCTTCTCAATAAACGATCTGTTGCCTGGCCTTTGTCTTCTTTCGCTACACATCCAGTACATCAGTTTAGGATAAGTTTTACATGTTTAACTCATAAAAAGACAAACTTCAATGAAGTTGTGCGACATTAAAAACCCTATTTTTGGATGTACACATATTTCACCAATAAATACCTGCCAATTGTGCTACATTTATTTAATTCGTTTTCATTGACAGCCCTATATACTGTATGGCCATATGTATATTAAAGAAGGTGGCATTAGAAATTTCAGCCACTTATGCAACCGTGGTGGGTGTTTTTTAAAGTGAAGCTTAGAGATTAAGTTGAAAAGTTATTCAAAATTTGCAATTCCATGCAGCTGTACGCGAAGTATGGGTTCACCATTTTATTTCAGCTGTTTATGTCACGGACTTGCTTCTGCTATAATGCCCTTAATACTTAAATAGCGTAGTACATCAGGTTATTCTATATTACTATAGATATATTATTATGGTTATTATTCATACCTTGAGGCTCGAGGGAGGAAACAGAGCTCCAAGAGAGTACCACCATTTCACCCTGCCTCCCTATAGTTTTCTTCAACTGTTTGTAAGTGTCCACAGGATCTCCATTTCACCCTTGGACGCTAAACTTGTCGCTCCTTCGTCAATTTTCCTCGAGGGTTTGGGGTGCGGTGTCACTTGAAGGTCTGTTGAGTGCATATCCACCAATGCATCCTAACTTCCTTCTCCATATCTGTTGGTTGGTTCATTGTTAGATTTCCTTGTTGATTGTCCTTTCTAGTCAACCACTGATGTTTGGTATCGAGACAGTGAAGCCAGGTGCAGCATGCCGTTAGAGATGCTTTTGGTGACGACTGTGACAAGCCACACTGAACCATATGAAGGCACTGATTTAACATTAGGATCTTCTGCCTTATGCTGAGTGCAGTAGATTTCCATGTTGACTCCAGATTACTGAAGATCTGTCTTGCTTTTTCAATCTTGCCTTCGAAATCCAATTCCATGCTATCTGCCGCCAAAAGAACTGTCAGTCTGTAAATAAAGTAGATGACTGCCTTCAGACATCTCCCGTTGAAGAAGACCAGTATGCCGTCGTTGGTTGGTTATCTTCATCACCTCTACTTTCTCTATGTTTAATTGTAATCAAGTCAATCACGATCTTCTAACGTCGTCTTGTTGATCTATCGTGTACTCGTTTCCTTAACGCCAACGGTCTGACGCATGATCCAGCCCACCGTAATCATGAATCAGAACCAGTGTTAGTAAACAACCTTGTCTTACTACTCTCCTCACATGAGACGCTCCATTAAATTCACCGCCGTGAGTTGTTTGGCAAATGTCATCATCATGCAGCTGCTGAACTAGATCTATGAAAGTTTGTATGACTCTGTAGTTATGGAGTTGTTACCAGTTTACCTCGAGGATGTGCTACTATACAACCTTCGAAATCACTTAGATAGGAGCAGGATACCTTGAACCATAGTTGACATTTAAAATTATACTTTTTCATTAAAGTTAAGCCATTCATCACAACATAAGCATTAAAACAAATAGTTCCATTTATCAATTTAGACACACGATTCACAAGAAGTAGACTACATCAATCCCTTATTATATGACGAAACAATTTTGAAAACATTCATAACACACGGGACACCCATACAAAAACATGCAAACCAAACTAAGAGATAAAAGGGGACAAGATATACTTAGGTCAAGTTAAAAACACAGAGAAAGTCAAAATAACAATTAAGATCACTAAAAATAATAACACAGGTAGTAGTACATCTTCCCTGACTGGTATCAAAACAAAGTTTACCAAGGAAAGTTTCGTGTGATGACGAATTGTTTTTGAACGCATAAAGGTGGTTTAAACTTCCTAATTGCTAGTTAGGGCTCCCACAAACTTTAGGATGCGCCTCAAACACGTTTTATAGATAGGTCTAAAAATGAACTATATATATGAGTACAAATCAAAAATTTGTGAACAAAACAGTTCCAACAGTGGTATGAACACGGACAGTAGTTTCGTCCGAAATATTACCAATAACAAAACTTATCATTGTTTGTAAACCATTGAAATATAATTATTATTCATTTGATCTATTCCACTTGAACTTCCGAACATTTGTGCAAAGTTCTATGTCGAAAACAGACAGACAGACAGATTCCACAATGCTCAAACTTTTTACTGACATTAATTTGAAAGATGTGTTAAAGTCAATTCTATGTCCTGTCTCTATAATATCTTCCGTAATATACGAGCTAGGTATCCTGCTCTCACCATTAATGGGTTCTGAGGATTCTATTTGCTTCTGGAGCCACTTAGGAATATGCTGTGAGGCCAGTCCTTACTTGCAGACATCGATGAGTCCTCCCTATGTATGTGTGTCCACACGTACATTCAAACTGGTAAATAGAGTGGGATGTGACATCATTTTTCCCATGTTCAAAGGGTTTAGATGGATATATTGGCTTCACATTCTCAATTACTGTGATATTAGCTGCATAAAAAGTCTTTATAACAGCAGCGTTCAATCTTCATCTAGTTATCAAGCTGCTATGATGCCCCATAATAGGGCAGCTTGATGTACACGTCTTTCTCAGGGGCGAGTTGGAGAGTGGGTCTTGGTGTTCTGACTACTTTATATCTCCCGATGAACTTGTCTGGATAATTGTAACCAACCAGAGTTTGTGTCAACTTTCTTTCTTCTTCACCAAATGTGTCTTCAGTGCATATTCGTTGGATCCTACTGAAGAGGCACCTTACTAAGGCTCTTTTGTACCGAACAGGGCAGAAACTGTGGTAATTAAGACTAAGCAATATGTCTAGGAAAGATAAACAACTATCTCCCTCTTCTACAGACGTAACTGATTTGCTATTCTGAACTCCATTCATTTGATTTAAAATTGAGGTGGCAGAATAAGGCTTATCAATTATGATTACAATGTCATCTACATACCTTCCACAAAGCGGCACATTTTCGATTAAATCCTCCAATAAACTCTCAATGTACGATATTGATATGTATCCACATATATATATTTATGTGTGTGTGTATGTTGGTCTCTCTTCTGTTGCTCGTTTAGTCTGTGACCTTTTCACTTGTGTGAACTTGTCTCCTTTATTAATGTGTATTCTCCTTATATTATATTATATATAATATGAGTGTTTGTTGACAGTCCGTTGCTTGGTGACATATATCCATATATGGTTGTTCACATGTCTGCTATATTCGCTATGTATATTTGGATCGACACTCCATTATAATTAGCCATTCATGTTAAGACTGTCTAATGATTTTTCCCACGCTTTGTCTGGATCATTCATATATATTTCGCATTCACAATCGTGTGAACGACTTTACTTACTTACCACTTTGGTATGAGACCATTTATTTTCGTCTCCTTGTGTTTGGACAATAGAAGTATCATCTCAAACCTAGTGGTCTTCTGATTTCCGCCTTCTCGCGTCAGGACTATTAGTTTCTCGACCAGTCCATAACAATAGTTTAGCGACGAGTACATAACAATTTGGCGACGGGGAAAACTAGTACATAACAGATATATATATATATATATATATATATATATATATATATTATATATATACGACATATATCTGCTAAAAAGGACACTAAAGGACTTCCCATAGCACCACCATCAACCTGGCGGAAACAATCGCCTTCAAATGTAAACCTAACATTGCCAGTACATAGGAGTAATAAATCCCTTAAATAAGATATACGGAACAGGATGAAAAGATTGTGAGTGGAAATGTAATCACACAAAATGTCAACTGTTTTGAAACAATTAGTCCCTTTTATAAATTTTGATAGCGTTATTAGAAGACGGAGATTATCTGAAAAATATGATGTATTTGCGCTATACATTTCGAACAATCTGATCACACACTTACTTTTCAAATCAATATATATGGAAAAGTTAAATTAAACGAAAAGTGACAAAAAGAATTAAGAATGATTAACACAACGTTTGGTAATCCAATCAAATAAGGATTACCAAGGTAGGTTAAGAGTAGTAGCAAACTGGTTTTGAATACACAGGGGGGGGGCTTAAGTTTATGAATAGCTATAGCCTCAGCGCATTTCAATAACCGCCCTTGACCGTTTATATGGATGACCTTAAAGGCTGAGTTAACATCAATCTTATGGTTCATCTCGATTAGATGTTTAGCTATAGACGAAGTTCGTAGTCTGACACCTGCATCTATTGGTTTTACACAATTCATTTGTTTTTCTAACCACTTTGGGATATGCTCTCCCACCCTCACATGCAAAGCGCGATTACTCCTCCCCATATATGTGTGTCCACACACAAACGAATCTGCATTCTGATGGTTTTAAAGAGTCAAATGTATCTTTACTTATAGCATTTAGGCCACGAAGCTTCACTAGATTAGCTGTCACTGTGCCCTGCAATAACTGAATATCACGTGAGGGGGGGTGACGGCCAAATTTGCTTTGATCATCAAGAATAGATAGCATTTTGGATTTGTAGTCACTTTTGTTCGTTATGACGACTCCAGAACCTTTATCAGATTTCGTAATTATTATATTAAGGTTTCCCCGTAGCTCTTTCAAGGCTTTGAAATGATGGGAAGTTAAAACACTTTTCTCTCTTGGGTTGTTGTTGTTGTTTAAAAACTGGTGAGCTATATCCACCATCTTGGCTTTAAACCAACCCCGATCTTCATAGGATGTTGCAGCAAGAGGTTTGAGTTGGTCATAGAAGTTTTCAAACTCAGCATGAATGGCTAAATCCGTAAATTGCATACGAGGAACACGAATTTAAGTCCAAGGGATAGAGCTTTTTTCTGATAAGTAGATACAGTAATATCAGAGAGATTTGTAACATTTATCAGGATTCACCGGAAAGAGATATACGCGATTTCGACCATCAATTCAACTCGTCAACTTATTTTGTATATTTGTCTTTCTTTTCTGAGTAATATCTTCACAAAACTGAATGATTTTCATGTGGCATACTATTGATGCCAGAAAAGAAAGACAAATATACAAAATAAGTTGACGAGTTGAAATGATGGTCGAAATCGCGTATATCTCTTTCCGGTGAATCCTGATAAATGTTACAAATCTCTCTGATATTACTGTATCTACTTATCAGAAAAAAGCTCTATCCCTTGGACTTAAATTCGTGTTCCTCGTATGCAATTTACGGATTTAGCCATTCATGCTGAGTTTGAAAACTTCTATGACCAACTCAAACCTCTTGCTGCAACATCCTATGAAGATCGGGGTTGGTTTAAAGCCAAGATGGTGGATATAGCTCACCAGTTTTTAAACAACAACAACAACCCAAGAGAGAAAAGTGTTTTAACTTCCCATCATTTCAAAGCCTTGAAAGAGCTACGGGGAAACCTTAATATAATAATTACGAAATCTGATAAAGGTTCTGGAGTCGTCATAACGAACAAAAGTGACTACAAATCCAAAATGCTATCTATTCTTGATGATCAAAGCAAATTTGGCCGTCACCCCCCCTCACGTGATATTCAGTTATTGCAGGGCACAGTGACAGCTAATCTAGTGAAGCTTCGTGGCCTAAATGCTATAAGTAAAGATACATTTGACTCTTTAAAACCATCAGAATGCAGATTCGTTTGTGTGTGGACACACATATATGGGGAGGAGTAATCGCGCTTTGCATGTGAGGGTGGGAGAGCATATCCCAAAGTGGTTAGAAAAACAAATGAATTGTGTAAAACCAATAGATGCAGGTGTCAGACTACGAACTTCGTCTATAGCTAAACATCTAATCGAGATGAACCATAAGATTGATGTTAACTCAGCCTTTAAGGTCATCCATATAAACGGTCAAGGGCGGTTATTGAAATGCGCTGAGGCTATAGCTATTCATAAACTTAAGCCCCCCCCCTGTGTATTCAAAACCAGTTTGCTACTACTCTTAACCTACCTTGGTAATCCTTATTTGATTGGATTACCAAACGTTGTGTTAATCATTCTTAATTCTTTTTGTCACTTTTCGTTTAATTTAACTTTTCCATATATATTGATTTGAAAAGTAAGTGTGTGATCAGATTGTTCGAAATGTATAGCGCAAATACATCATATTTTTCAGATAATCTCCGTCTTCTAATAACGCTATCAAAATTTATAAAAGGGACTAATTGTTTCAAAACAGTTGACATTTTGTGTGATTACATTTCCACTCACAATCTTTTCATCCTGTTCCGTATATCTTATTTAAGGGATTTATTACTCCTATGTACTGGCAATGTTAGGTTTACATTTGAAGGCGATTGTTTC